TCCATCAGCAAGGGCATTGAAGATGAAACGTGGCTGGGTCTTTCAGCATGACAATGATCCCAAACACACCGCCCGGGCAACGAAGGAGTGGCTTCGTAAGAAGCATTTCAAGGTCCTGGAGTGGCCTAGCCAGTCTCCAGATCTCAACCCCATAGAAAATCTTTGGAGGGAGTTGAAAGTCTGTGTTGCCCAGCGACAGCCCCAAAACATCACTGCTCTAGAGGAGATCTGCATGGAGGAATGGGCCAAAATACCAGCAACAGTGTGTGAAAACCTTGTCAAGACTTACAGAAAACGTTTGACCTGTGTCATTGCCAACAAAGGGTATATAACAAAGTATTGAGAAACTTTTGTTATTGACCAAATACTTATTTTCCACCATAATTTGCAAATAAATTCATAAAAAATCCTACAATGTGATTTTCTGGATTTTTTTCCCTCATTTTGTCTGTCATAGTTGACGTGTACCTATGATGAAAATTACAGGCCTCTCTCATCTTTTTAAGTGGGAGAACTTGCACAATTGGTGGCTGACTAAATACTTTTTTCCCCCACTGTATATGTTCTCAATTTAAAATGATACCAGTAGACAATGTATATGAGGCACACCATATACCAGATTTTGTAGATTCCTTTTAAGTGCTGAGGCTATAGGAGATGAACATTACAGGTAACGTATTATGAGGTTAATTTTATTTTATTTCACTTATGTTGCTCCTACGGCACTAATCTGGTGAGCACCTTTGGAGCTCCACCCAAGCAAGGCATTTGATTGGTTTGATGTGTTGCGAGGCGTCACCGATTTACACCGGGTTCCAATCCCTCTTTAGCTGATTTCTGCAACTGAACTTCCCCAGGCTTACCGTTTTAGGGAAGCCTGGTTCGTGACGAGGCTAGTGTGGAGCTAACCCATCACTTCTTTATATTATACCCCCTTTTCAGATCTTGTCTCATCGCTGCAACTCCCCAACTGGCTCGGGAGAGGCGAAGGTGGAGTCATGCGTCCTCCGAAAAACATGACCCGCCTAACCGCGCTCCTTAACACCCGCCAGCTGAACCCGGAAGCCAGCCGCACCAATGTGTCGGAGGAAACACTGTTCAACTGGCGACCGGGGTCAGCCTGCACGCACCTGGCCCGCCACAAGGAGTCGCTAGAGTGCGATGAGCCAAGTAAAGCCCCACCGGCCAAACCCTCCCCTAACCCGGACGACGCTGGGCCAATTCTGTGCCGTCCTATGGTACTCTCGGCCACGGCCGGTTGTGGCACAGCCCGGGAATGAACCCGGGTCTGTAGCACTGCGATGTAGTGCCTTACACCGCTGCGCCACTCGGGAGGCCCTTAACCCATCACATCTATCGGCTTTATGTAAACGTTCCACATTATGAAAAGTGCTTCAAATAAACAATTGTGCATGAGCAGGAATACAAAAGACTACCACTAGAATGTCAGAACCTTTTCAGTTGAAATACAATGTAGAAAATCATTTAATTCCAATCTCAATCAAATCCATGTACTTGTCAAATGAAACATAAAAGCAACTCATTTTTAGATAATATGGGATGTATGGGAGCGTCAGAAGTGCACTGGGGCAGCAGGTAGCCTAGAGGTTAAAAGGTTGCTGGTTCGAATCCATGAGCCGACTAGGTGAAACATCTGCCGATGTGCCCTTGAGCAAGGCACTTATCCAGACCGCCTTACAGTATTCTCAGAGGTTACCTAACGTGGACCTTGCCGTTATATCTCTTGACGCCGAAAAGGCCTTTGACCAAGTTGAGTGGCCCTATCTATTCAAGGTCCTACAGAAATTATTTAAAAAATATTGGAGATGGGTTCATAAATTGGATCCAGCTTTTATATAGGAACCCCTGTGCGAGAATACTCACTAACCAATCAATGTCGCCCCGATTTAACCTTCACAGAGGGACAAGGCAGGGTTGTGCGCTGTCGCCTATGCTCTTCGCCCTAATTATTGAACCTCTCGCTCAAGCGATCAGATCTCATTCAGCAATACACGGCTATAATACTAAAGATACTCTAAATAAGATTTCCCTATACGCAGATGATATTCTCCTCTATGTAACAGAACCCCAAGCTAGTATTCCAGCTATTCTTGAGGTGATTAATTTGTTTGGTACCTTCTCGAGATACAGAATAAATTGGAACAAGAGTGAATTAATGCCCATACGGTTGCAAAACAACTCCTGGCTAGAACATCTTCCAGTTAAGTTATCTTCAGAAAAATGTATCTACCTTGGAATTGTAGTTACCAAACAATACTCCTTACTATTTAAAGAGAATTTCCCTTCTCTGATGCAAAATCTCAAGGCAAACATAACATTTTGGAGAACTCTCCCAATTTCTCTGCTCGGAAGAATTAATGCCATTAAAATGGTCTTCCTCCCACAACTGCTCTACCTATACCAGAACATCCCAGTATTCATACCTAAATCCTTTCATAAACAACTGGACTCTATTATCAATCCTTTCATCAGGGACTATAAAACACACAGGATAGGTAAAAAACACCTATGTAAATCCAAGATGGAAGGAGGATTGTCTCTCCCAAATTTTATATTTTACTACTAGCCCGCTAACCTCCGCGCTGTTACGTTTTTGCTGGATGACGCACCCCCGCCATCCAGCTGGCTTAGCATGGAGCGGGAGGAGTGTCACCCCTTCTCTATTGGTGCTGTGATTTTGTCACCTGTCGATCTGGAGATGTCACTTTATCGTAACAATCCTATTATACATAGCACAGTCCGAATCTGGAAGCAAATTAAAGTCCACTTTGAGCTTAGACCAATATCATTCATGCTCCCTGTTGCCAGGAATCCCTCCTTTGCACCCTCTAACCTTGATAACACCTTAGAGCGATGGGGAGAGTTGGGGATAAGTACCATAGGGGATTTATATATAGAAGGGACCTTTGCTTCCTTTGAATCGCTGAGGGAAATGTATAACCTTCCCAGAAGTAACTTTTTCAGATACCTACAAATTAGAGACTAATGCTAAACCTTCCATGTTTGACGGATGCATAAAAATATGCCCCACCTCAGACAAACTGATATCTCGTCTATATGACGCTTTTCAATCTGTTAGCGCACCCTCTACTGATGCCATTAAGGCAAAATGGGAGGAAGAACTAGGGACTGATATTTCGGTGGCAGACTGGGAGGATAGCTTGGAGTATATCCACACCTGCTCCATTAACTCCAGACATCGTCTCATACAATTTAAGGTATTACACAGATTACACTATTCCAAAACTAAACTGCATAGGATATTTCCTGATACATCCCCTATGTGTGATAAATGTCAGGCTGAGCAGGGTACACTACTCCACTGCTTTGCCCTATGCTCTAGTCTGTATGGTTATTGGTGTGGAATTTTTGGGGTCCTCTCTGAAGTTCTGGAGACTTCAATAGACCCAGACCCGCTTCTGATAATCCTGGGAGTGTCCGATTCCCTAAACGGATTAACCAACTCCCAAAAACAACTAATCTCTTACAGTCTCATTTCGGCAAAAAAATGAATCTTGTTGTTTTGGAAAAGGAGGGAAGCGCCCTCTACCAAATTATGGCTCAGCGAATTGGCAAACACTGTACACTTAGAAAGAATTAGATATATTCTGAACAATAAATTATCAACATTTGATCAAATCTGGCAGCCTTTCCTCTCTTACCTGGACCAGTCGGCGCTGTGAATTTGTACTTTTTAACACACTCTCAATTGTCATATTGTAATCTACCTTTGGGCAGCGTGTGCTGGCCCCGACATTCGAGCAGTCGGGAGGGGAATAGGGTGGAATAAAGGGGGGGGAATAAAGGGGGGTATAAATGGGGGGGTTACATCTACCCTTTTTCTTTCTACCTGTCCCTGTTCTATATGTCTTGTTTTGTAATATTTGTTTTGTGTTCAGAACTCTGGGTCTTGTTGTTCATGTCTGTTCTCTTATGTTTAGATAAGAACTGTACACATGTCTTTCATACCTATACACCATTCTTCTGTGTGTTCAATAAAAAATATTTGAACAGACCGCCTTACAGGAGCGATTAGGGTTAAGAGCGTCTACTAAGATGTAAATGTACGGTACCTGTGGCTGTAACGCACTGCAATGATGAGGCCCAACTGTAGGTGAGACAAACAAAAGACACACACTGTAAGAACTCTACACAGAACAGGGCTGATGCTACATGCCTTTATCTGGAGGTACTGCTTCAGTGCAAAATCAGATCCACATTTGTTTTCTCTTAAGTTCTTATAGTTTCAAAATCAAAACCCTAAGCTTAAATATGAAACTGTGTTTATTTGAAACTGTGTTTATGGACCATAATGTATTATTTTATTTCACTTAAAAGAAGGACAGGTGCAAACTTTGTACAGGTTCAAAGGCTAAGTTACTGTGACCCACAGCCTATACACACTGATAAGATCAGTCCCAAAGAACACCATAGGCATAATCTGGGCTAGACAGATCTATTAGCACCTCTGATTTCTATGCTTCTCTGCTCTCCCCAAGCTAATAATAGTCCATTATAATTTGAAGCAGCCAGATCTGTTTTAGTAACTCATTCAGAGTATGACAATTCTATTTTTGCAACCAACCAACATCACCAAAGGGTCACCTAGGGGCAGAGCTTTGTATGATTGTCTTGGTTACCTGCCAGACTTGGGACACAACCTAGAATTCAGTCCAGTTATTGGGTACACACAGCAGACTATGATGCCAACCCATCTGGCATAGATTTACCCAGACTGATGCCCATAATCCGCTCAAACTGCAGATGACTGAGCTGATTTCTCTCATTAGAATAGCATGTAGAATGTCAAAGATGGTGTAACAAACGCAGTGTTCAGGATACCTGTCGGTGTTGTGCTTTGTCCCTATGAGGGAGGTAAATCAAGACTGCCCTCTAGCTGTCACTAACCATGGTAAGATGGGAAACATGGTTAAAGCTAAAGAGAGCTAATCAGTTGACATACACTAGCCTAAATCATACTACACATGGCCCTGTAAACACACCTTCATGGCAGCCATGGCCTGGACAGTGAGCCCCAGCCTTGTAGGGGTGAGAGCAGCCAACATGGCGTTAAAACGTTTGCTCTTGTTCTGGACAGGAGAAGAGTACAGCCCATCTGCCGACACACAGCCAAACCTGGAGCAGGAGGGTCATAAAACACATTGATGCTGCATCCTTTACACTGTACACAGCTAGGCATAATTCAAGTGAGGACATATTCCAACGATGTCTGGAATGCATTCAACTTCCAAAGGCAGTTATAGAGAACTGTTCACTGACCCGGCAGTGGAGCACATAATATTCATATGTTATATAGAAATACAATGATTACAGTCCACTCACTTGCTGAGTAGGTTCTTCCTCGGTATCCTGACATTGTCGAATATCAAGATGCCATTGTCAACCCCGTGTAAGCCTGTGACAACACACACACACACACATACACACAGCATGCCTAAGTGTCAAATGTTCAATAAAAATCCACATATTAATACACAACTGTGTGCATTTGTGACAATAATAATTGTCTCACAGTATCATATTCATGGCACACAGTTGGAAGAAGAACACTGCTTGCAGGAAAAACAGGCCATTGAAAACTAGCTACCTTCTTTGTGCTTCATGTCAATGGCTGTCACTCCAGGATTCATGACTCCATGTCGGTCTCGGATTGGGACAATGAAACAGTGAGGACCTATGGGGATGAATACAAACATTGAACATACATTAGTAAATGCACAGGGGCTGTTGCTAAACACAACCCATAGCAGACAGACTGTTGTATTGAGTGAGTCCCACCTTGGGAATCTCCATTGATGATGAGCTGAGCGAACACGGAGGCGTAATTCCCCTTCATGGAGTTTCCGATGTACATCTTCTGGGCATCCTCACACGGTGTGTGGATGATGAACTCCTGAAGGCCAAAAGAGAAATGGATATAACTAAATATGATCAGTAAAGAAAGGCCCAGACTAAAAGAGGGAACATACTGTTTATACTAGACATGTCCATGACCTGCATATTTCACATACATATTGATATAGTTGTGTAACTTTGTAACACAATATGATCTAGTCCACTGTGTTACGGATTACGTACAACAGACTGTATCATTTGGGGTATGTGGTATAATGTCCTCTGCACATAGTGGAACTAATTATGATACACTGTAACTAAAGTGGAATTTCATCCTAACCCAAATGACCGGTACAGTAGGTCAATGTTGAGTGGTGAAAAGAGGTTGCTGCCGTGTTGAACCAATCAACTGTCCATCAGTCCAGAATTCCTCATTACCTCAATGGTGTCACTTGATTTGTGAGTGTGTTATGCATGTTATTAAGCTGACCTGTGTAGATGGCTCGTAGCAGGCCTCTGTAAGGATTCCCCGGACGTTACTCCCATGACCCCTCTCTGTCATGGCAAACATCCCAGTGAACTCCGAATCCTGACAGAAGTTACACCCAGTCAAAACAATTGTGATGAAGAGTTGACAAAGGATTAAAAATTAAAGGCTAAATCCATTGTTGTATCGGATAAATAACAACATCCAATGACACTATGTGCTGTGGATGAATGTGAATGTGTATGGCAGAAAAAGCTATGTGCAAGTGCATGCATGGTAAGAATGTAATGACAAGAGGCAGACATTGGGACAAAAGCTGTAAATGATCTGTTACATTACTTTGCATGTGAGCTGTGTGAGTGACAGTGGACACGTACCGTAACCGGGAGATACCATGTTTTTTTCTGTTCAGGGCTTCCAAGGTTTGTGACTGCACCACCAAACAAGCCACAGACCACACCCAACTGTGGACCAGAGGGGAGAATGCCAAAGAGCACAGTACAGACAGTACACACAGCCTACACAGTGTAATCATGAATTTGGTTATATAATTATATCATGCTTACCTTACTATGCCTATGACAAGCAATGCTTACCTGTGTGAGTGTGTGTGTGAGTGTGTGTGTGTGTGTGTGTGTTGGAGCATCAATTAGCATACCTTTACTCCAGTGGACATATCTGCAGAGCATATCAGTTCCGTGATACCCAAGCTCTTGGCTATGAAGCCTGGTTGTTTCTCTTTCATCTAAAAACCCCTCAAGACATACAACTCAGTTTCATATCTGAACAACACCCAGACAAACATTCTGCAATGCGTGAGGTGTAAAACTGCTATCAGTTGAGGGGTGTAAAAGACTGAATTTGTTCACCTGATCTTTGAGGTGATGTCGCATTAGTGGCCTCGTTAAGATATACTCCAGTCTCTCCACCGTCAAATCTCTATTCTGGTCCAACGTGAGACCATAACTGTAGAATAAAGATGTGTTACATTTTAGTATGTGATAGAACTAAACATGAACAGTGAATTGAACATGAACATCGCAGCTGTGAAATCAGCTTTTTTTTTTATCCAGATGTGCCCGCGACGCTCAACAGCTGGAAGCCGCACAAGCCCTTTTCCAACCGCTGAAAACTGTAGATAGATACGTAAAATTGCATGTCCTTAAACCTTAGCTATCACAGGAATATGTCGTGATGATCAACATATGATAGAAAAGTTGGATAAAACCACCAGTAAGAGATCACGAACCTGCTAGTTCGAAAGGGCTCGCCTTGGGATATTTCTTCACGAATATGATCTTTGGTTTCCCAAAATTCACCATCGAGGTATCTTGCAAGACTACTTGGAGTAGATTTGTCAGCCATTGATGTCTCATATATCCTCTCTTTTTGGGAAATATCCACTGTCAAGCAGAGCACACAGAGCACAACCAGACACAACTGAATATTGTCACTTTCACAGTCAACTTCCGCGTCCGGATGATGTCACTATTTGTGCAGCTGAAACGTGTACAAAATAATACATGGTTGCGATTACACAGGCAGCCCAATTCTGATATTTTTCCACTACTTGGTTTTTTGACCAATCATCAGATCTTTTCACAATATGTATATTTTTATCGGATTCCTCAAAATACAAATTTGTGATTTTTTTTATTGGGTTATGGACACGCAGCAGTATCATACATTTTTTTACATTTAACATTTCTCTCAAAATGAGAAAGAAGATTGTTTGAGACAGACATGTATTTTTTATGGCAATTGAGGAAAAAGCATTCAACATGCACCAATCGAACATAATTTAATACCCTTCCGGTTGCTGTAAGGTCAACTTCATGAAAAATTGCCTATTCAATTGAATAGGCCTGCATAGGTTACCATACATGCCCAGAACTTGCTCATAAATATTTTTCATAGAGGTTCATTCCTTTTCAAGATAGATATTGATGATATAGTGTACATGTATAGGTACATGGGAACAATTGAAAAAACGATTCAATGAGTAATGCACTGCATCATTTAATTAATGTCCCATCATACAGTGCATTGAAACCAAGTCTGAAACGCAGGAATTGAAATTCAATTATGTTGTGTGACTTACGCTCACTAGATGTCAGCAGAGAATAGACTATAGCCGACAAACTGGAAGCTACAGGTAACTGCCAAAATAATGGAAACGCTTGAGTAAACGAGGGATACAAAGTATATTGAAAGCAGGTGCTTCCACACAGGTGTGGTTCCTGAGTTAATTAAGCAGTTAACATCCCATCATGCTTAGGGTCATGCATCAAAATGCTGGGAAGGCCCTTATTTTGACTATCATGGCTATGCCCCCATAGGATGTAAACCGTCTCAGTCACCAGATCTCAACACAACTGAACACTTATGGGAGATTCTCGAGCTGCACCTGAGACAGCGTTTTCCACCACCATCAACAAAACACAACATTTCTTGCAGAAGAATGGTGTCGCATCCCTCCAATAGAGTTCCAGAAACTTGTAGAATATATGCCAAGGTGCATTGAAGCTGTTCTGGCTGGTGGTGGCCCAACGCCCTATTAAGACACTTTATGTTAGTTTCCTTTATTTTGGCAGTTACCTGTATGGTAAAGACAATGTGAATGCAGAGGTAAGCCTACTCTCTGAATGTAACAAAAATAGTCAATTTTTTTTAACATATGGTATTTCTTGAGCTACTAAAATAAACGTATGTATGTGTAATGCTTGACTGTCCACAGTGGATATTAATTGATTATCTGATCATTTGACTAATCAATTAACAGGGTGATTTATTAACCAAAATCTAGATATGTAGCTAGTAAAAATGCTTAGGTTGCATTTAAACAGGCAGGCCAAAGTAGATATTTGGCCAATTATTTGCATATCTCATACCACAGGAGGTTGGTGGCACCTTAATTGGGGAGGACAGGCACGTGGTAATAGCTGGAAAGGTATCAACAACATCAAACACATGGTTTCCAACAGATCCGAACTTTTAGCTTAAAAGTGTTGATAAACTATTAGGCTATTTCTTCACATTATAAGCGCAGCAATGCGCACACGGAAGTAGGCTGTAAGCGAGAATGTTCCAATAGTGGGAAAACGCCATTATCAAAAGTAATCACAAATGCGATTATGCATGTAACGCTTTTATTATAAAGGTGTATTTTTATGGTGAAAAGTATCTTCCCCAAACTTGAAACTCACACGCTGCTTATGTATGCCAGTTAGGCTCTACACCCCTTGTAAGGCAGATTAATGCGCTTAATTTTAAGAAGTTATTTGGCAATGTTAATTGTGATACAAACCTTATCAAAACATATAGGCCTATGGGCTAGGCTACGTGAGGTGTGCGACTATGATCAATCTCAAGGTCATCAGACTGTTAAATAGCCATCATTAGAGGCTGCTGCTGCCTATTTGAAATCACTGGCCACTTTAAGTAATGGAACACTAGTCACTTTAATCATGTTTACATATCTTGCACTACTCATCTCATATGTACAGTGGGGGAAAAAAGTATTTAGTCAGCCACCAATTGTGCAAGTTCTCCCACTTAAAAAGTGGAGAGAGGCCTGTAATTTTCATCATAGGTACACGTCAACTATGACAGACAAAATGAGGGAAAATCCAGAAAATCACATTGTAGGATTTTTAATGAATTTATTTGCAAATTATGGTGGAAAATATAATGCTTCACAGTAGGTATGGTGTTCTTTGGATGCAACTCAGCATTCTTTGTCCTCCAAACACGACGAGTTGAGTTTTTACCAAAAAGTTATATTTTGGTTTCATCTGACCATATGACATTCTCCCAATCCTCTTCTGGATCATCCAAATGCACTCTAGCAAACTTCAGACGGGCCTGGACATGTACTGGCTTAAGCAGGGGGACACGTCTGGCACTGCAGGATTTGAGTCCCTGGCGGCGTAGTGTGTTACTGATGGTAGGCTTTGTTACTTTGGTCCCAGCTCTCTGCAGGTCATTCACTAGGTCCCCCCGTGTGATTCTGGGATTTTTGCTCACCGTTCTTGTGATCATTTTGACCCCACGGGGTGAGATCTTGCGTGGAGCCCCAGATCGAGGGAGATTATCAGTGGTCTTGTATGTCTTCCATTTCCTAATAATTGCTCCCACAGTTGATTTCTTCAAACCAACCTGCTTACCTATTGCAGATTCAGTCTTCCCAGCCTGGTGCAGGTCTACAATTTAGTTTCTGGTGTCCTTTGACAGCTCTTTGGTCTTGGCCATAGTGGAGTTTGGAGTGTGACTGTTTGAGGTTGTGGACAGGTGTCTTTTATACTGATAACAAGCTCTAACAAGCTCAAACAGGTGCCATTAATACAGGTAATGAGTGGAGGACAGAGGAGCCTCTTAAAGAAGAAGTTACAGGTCTGTGAGAGCCAGAAATCTTGCTTGTTTGTAGGTGACCAAATACTTATTTTCCACCATAATTTGCAAATAAATTCATTAAAAATCCTACAATGTGATTTTCTGGATTTTTTCTCAATTTGTCTGTCATAGTTGACGTGTACCTATGATGAAAATTACAGGCCTCTCTCATCTTTTTAAGTGGGAGAACTTGCACAATTGGTGGCTGACTAAATGCTTTTTTCCCCCCACTGTATATACTGCATTCTATTCTATAATATTCTACTGAATCTTAGTCCATGCCGCTCTGTCATTGCTTGTCCATATATGTATATATTCTTAAATCCCATTCCTTACTAGTTTTGTGTGTATTGGGTATATGTTGTGAAATTGTTAGAAATTACTTGTTAGATATTACTGCACTGTCGGAGCTAGAAGCAAAAGCATTTCGCTACACCCGCTATAACATCTGCTAAACGTGTGTGTGACAAATAAAATGTGATTTGATTTGTAAAACTGTTCGCTCGGGTTCAAGTCCAGGCTCTGGCTGGGCCCATCAAGGACATTCAGAGACATGTCCTGAAGCCACTGCTGCGTCGTCTTGGCTGTGTGCTTAGGGTCGTTGTCCAGTTGGAAGGTGAACCTTCGCCCCAGTCTGAGGACCTAAGTGTTCTGGAGCATGTTTTCATCAAGGATCCCTCTGTACTTTGCTCCATTCCTCTTTGCCTCGATCCTGACTAGTCTCCCAGTCCCTGCTGCTGAAAAACATCCCCACAGCATGATGCTGCCACCACAATGCTTCACCGTAGGGATGATGCCAGGTTTCCTCCGGACGTGACGCTTGGCATTCAGGCCAAAGAGTTAAATCTTGGTTTCATCAGACCAGAGAATCTTGTTTCTCATGGTCAGAGAGTCTTTAGGTGCCTTTTGGGAAACTCCAAGCGGGCTGTCATGTGCCTTTTTATGAGGAGTGGCTTCCGTCTGGCCACTCTACCATAAAGACCTGATTGGTGGAGTGCTGCAGAGATAGTTGTCCTTCTGGAAGGTTCTCCCATCTCCACAGAGGAACTCTAGAGCTCTGTCAGAGTGACCATCGGGTTCTTGGTCACCTCTCTGACCAAGGCCCTTCTCCCCCAATTGCTCAGTTTGGCCAGGCGGCCAGTTCTAGGAAGAGTCTTGGTGGTTCCAAACTTCTTCCATTTCAGAATGATGGAGGCCACTGTGTTCTTGGGGACCTTCAATGCTGCAGAAATGTTTTGGTACCCTTCCCCAGATTCCCCAGATGTTTTTTATTTTTAATACAGTTTCAAAAAACCTGTTTTCGCTTTGTCATTATGGGGTATTGTGTGTAGATTGATTTTTTACAAAAATAAATTTTAGAATAAGGCTGTAATGTAACAAGTCAAGGGGTCTGAATACTTTCCGAAGGCACTGTACATGGCGAGTATGAAACACAGTATATGGGTCTTTCCATGAAATGAGTCCCTTTTGCGTCCCTTTGATATTGGATTTTAAAAGCCTGTTATAGTAAATAAAGTGCACTTTAATATAGACCACATGGAAAATTAAATACATATTTTTAATATGAATAAAGACTTGCTAAAGTGTCCCTCTGCACTCTCAGTGACTTCCCATA